TGGGAGACAACACCAGAAAATCACATATTTTTGACACTGGAGTCTCAGAGGGAAAAGAAAAATTGGTACAGATACAAAAAGTTTTTAGAAATAATTGCTGAAAACTTCTTAAATTTGATGAACAATATAAATACACATTCAATAAACTCAGCAAAATCCAAACAAGATGTTCAGCATATCATAATCAAACTGCTGATAACCAAAGATTTAAAGAATCCTGAAAGTAGCCAGAAAAAAGCCCAATACATTAGGTATAGGGCACAACAATTTGAATTGTGGGTTATCTTAGGCATATAACGAAAAATTGCATAGGCCAGGATGCAGTGGAACATCTTTAAAGCACTCATAGGAAAGAATCATCCACCCAGAATTCTCCACCCAGTGCCAAAATTCTTCAGGAATGTGGACTTCCTGAAGAATCCTAAAATATGTCCACAAATTCATTGGAGATTCTCTCTGTTAGAGATAGAATGCTTGTTCCTAGGTACTGCAAGGAAAAATTAACATTCAGACAAAAAATTTTCTCAGCAAGGCAATTTTACTTTCTGAAGAAAGAGTACTACTTACTCTCCAGCAGTCTTGCCATAAGAGTATGATGAACAAAGGAAAGGCATGCATATTTATTCCTTACACATTGGGTCCTTACTGCTGTGACCCATCTCCATTAGTTGGAGCCAGACCTCACAATCTGAACTAAACCTGATTGGCTAACAACTTAAAACTTTGCTAAATAGGTAAAAGCAATGGAAAACAAAAGGAAAAGAGGAAGTCCATATAAGGAAGGGAGAGAAAGTTGCTTGCAAAAGGACTTAAAAAAGTAATAACATAAATATCTTGGTTAAAGTACAAGGACATAGAATGTACTACATGCCTGTGAGCACAAATATCTTGGTTAAAATACCAGGACATAGAATGTACTTATTCCCTTATATCTAACAAATAAATAGGATAGGGCTTAATCAAGAGTTACTAGCAAAAAGCAAGAAGGATTTGAAGAGTTAGTCTTTTTTTTTTTTTTTTTTTTTTTTTTTTTTTTTTTTTGAGACAGAGTGTCGCTCTTGTTACCCAGGCTGGAGTGCAATGGCACGATCTCGGCTCACCGCAACCTCCGCCTCCTGGGTTCAGGCAATTCTCCTGCCTCAGCCTCCTGAGTAGCTGGGATTACAGGCACGTGCCACCATGCCCAGCTAATTTTTTGTATTTTTAGTAGAGACGGGGTTTCACCATGTTGACCAGGATGGTCTCGATCTCTTGACCTCGTGATCCACCCGCCTCGGCCTCCCAAAGTGCTGGGATTACAGGCTTGAGCCACCGCGCCCGGCGAAGAGTTAGTCTTTAAATGAAGGTATTATTTCTAATATTTATTATATTATTTAGCAAGAAGGGAAACTTTGAATAGGAACTTTTTATTTTCTACAGTCTCTTCAGAAGGTGGAGCCTAATTACCCTCCCCTTGAGCGTGAGCCAGAATTAGTGACTGACTTTTAAAGAACAGAGTATGTCAGAAGTGATATTTCATGATTCTGAAATTTTAGTTAATGGTGAACACCAGTCCCCTGACAACATGGTTCAAATTTGAGTTATCAGAGCATATTAACTGTAATTGCATGAAGTTCAAACTTTCTGCTAGCTCCCCAGTCCAAAATCACTACATAATAACAGAGGTGCATCGTGATTAGTTACCAATCATGTCATTTCTTTCCAAAACCTGTGGGTGGTTGGTCACTGTGTTGAGTTCACCCACAGACAGCAAAGTTTGAATAGTGTGGCCTCCTCGTCTCCCAGTGATAAACCCACATGGCATTTTACACAAATGGATATTCAAGAGAAAACTGACCAACAAAAATAGAAGTGCAGCAAAGAAACAAAACTGTAAACACTGAAAGTGAATGCAAATCAAACATAAATGGGGTCACTGAAGAAGCAGACTGTGGGGATGTGGGCATTTTTGCCAAGAAGGTGAATTAATCAAACAAATGAAGAAAGTGGTTGTGATGAAAAAGAGGAAGAAGTCCCGGAGGAAAGAACGTCAGTAAAAAGCTTCACGTTAAAAGGACTTGGAGATATTTCATGACATTGAAAACAGAAAGGATAAAATATTGGAAACTGATCTAAACTTAGAAGGGTCATGATCAGTTTTTGAAACACAGCAAAGGAGCTTGCTCCATATCATAAGATTTTTGAAGAAGGCAAACGTTGTTCAAATGCCTGTTGATAACATTTTTTAGGAAGACATCAAACACTTTAATTCGCAGCGTTTCTCATATTTTAAATACAGTGTACAACAATATTAACTTTATTGTTTCCTTATACATTTCTTTTTTCTTTTCTTTTTTCTCTTTTTTTTCTTTTTTGAGATGGAGTCTCGCTCTGTTGCCAGGCTGGAGTGCTGTGGCACAATCTCAGCTCATTGCAACCTCTGCCTCCTGGATTCAAGTGATCCACCCACCTCGGCCTCCCAAAGTGCTGGGACTACAGTATGCGCCACCACGCCCAACTAATTTTTTGTATTTTTAGTTGAGACGGGGTTTCACCATGTTGGCCAGGATGGTCTGGATCTTTTGACTTTGTGATCCACCCACCTCGGCCTCCCAAAGTGCTGGGATTACAGGCATGAGCCACCACACTCGGCCTTCCTTACACATTTCTAACAGTACAACATTATCAATGTTCTGACAATTTTCAAAAGACGCCAAAAAAAAAAATCACAATTTTACCCACCGATTATTGTTAACAGCACAGGGCACAGTTTCAGCGTGGAAGGTCATTTTTACAGTTCTGAATTGCAATGCAAGGTGAGGACTGCCTGTCTTATGTTGGGAGATTCTGGGTTCTGCTAAAATTCCCCAAAGAATTTTTTTTTTTCTTTCTATTTTGTCAGGCAATCAACCTCATTAGCCTCAGCCCACCGGTCCTGCGTTGTCTTCTGTTTGGTGGTGGTGGTCAGAATGTCAGTTCAGAGTGCGGCTGTGCTGCTTGGGCTCTGCGTCTGGTATGTGCAGCTCTGGGCTGAGCATGGAATTCAGCTCATTACAGAATTAGAGAATCCTCTTTTCAGGTCTCTGCTCTTCAGGATTTGCCCCCAGACTCCCTGGCACCCAGGGAGCCCCTTTTCCTCACCTGTGACTTAGAAAGATGGGCTTTCTCTCTGTTGATTACCTGCCCACATTGTCTGTTCATTTTGGCAAAAGGAATGCCCCTCAGGCAGAAAGCAGAGAGGAAAAAAAAAAAAAGAAGGATTTTCCACATTCTTCAGACCATAGGATCATTTTTTCCTGCTTCCTCTGGCTGGAAAGACAAGTTTTCTCTCAGGGGCAGAGGTCACTGTCCCAATTCTTTGGGCTTGGCAATACTTCTCCATGACTAGGGTCATCTTTAGGTCAGGACTGAGAGAGAAAAAGTTTAAAAAAGAAAAAAAAAAAAACAAAACCCAGAAATTATAGCCACACTTTCTAGCTTGCAGGGGCCCCATTTACCAGAATGTTTTAAGAAAGTTCCAGACTGTTTTCCCATCAGCTGTATATGAGGATTCCAGTTCCTCCACATCCTTCTCAGCAAACAAATTAACCTTATTTGGCATAGGATTTCTAGACCTGTAGGTTGTGGAAATGTCATAGAATGTTTTGAGGCCAGTAAGGAGTTCCTGGGTTTCTTATGAGAATCTGTAGCTATTGGCCTCATCATAGTAAAGTGAATTTGTGGTATTAAATAAATGGGAAAAAAAAAAAGGCAAATAGTACGAATTAAAAGTTCATGAGGTGTTTGGGCTGATAAAGAGATTCATCATCTAAAGAGTGGCTTAAGATTTAGAAGGCATAGCTTTAACCTCTTTGTCTTCGAAGGGCAGGCTATCTTCTTATAGGACAGGGTATAGCAAGTCTTACCAAATATGTCATGAACGTGTTGTTTGGGAATATTCAGCATTCCTTTTCCCTTCCTAAAGGTACTCAGCTTTCTTTGTCAGAAACTATATATTCATTTCTGAGAGGTCTGAGAAAAAATGAAAAAGAAATTGTGTATAGTTTTGGTGAGATTGTCAATCCAAAAACCTGTTTCCTCATATTAAAGTCAAAGAAACGATACTATTTTCACTGCCCGGCTGGTGACGCTTTACCTGTTTGGTTCATTCTACTCTTTTTTTTCCCCATGACTTTGAATCTTGAGAAAATGACTGCAGGATAAGATTGGAGTTCATTCATGTCTTCAACAGTACCCTGGCCATACTGTTACAAGTCCTGTCAATCTTAGTTCCCACCCATCCTTAACCCTAGTTCTTCAACTTTCATAAATCCGTAAGTTCCTATCTCTGTAATAAATATTTTTTTTTTTTTTTTTTTTTTGAGATAGGGCCTCGCTGTTGCCCAGGCTGAAGAGCAAGTGGCATCATCCAACTTGGAGGTTGGATGGAGCAAGTGGGCCCACTCCAACCTCCACCTCTTTGGCTGAAGCAGCCTTCCCACCTCAACCTCCTGAGTAGATGAGACTATAGGTGCATACCACCACACCTAGCTAAGTTTTGGATTTTTTTGTAGACAATGAATTTCATCATGTTGCCTCAAGAAAAATGTCAGGATATGATTAAGTCTATCTTTTAACAGTGACATGTAACTGATTTTAAAATATTATGTAGTGCTTCCTAGTTTAACCAAACTGGAGGTGTGTTTTATGACGGGCTGTCTCATGAATATAACTGCCAAAATCCTCACTTCTTTTTTTTTTTGAGATGGAGTTTTGCTCTTGTTGCCAAGGCTGGAGCGCAATGGCGGGATCTTGGCTCACTGCAACCTCTGCCTTCTGGGTTCAAGCTATCCTCCTGCCTCAGCCTCTCAAGTAGCTGGGATTACGGGCATGCGCCATCACTTATTTTGTACTTTTAGTACAGACAGGGTTTATAGGTATGCACCCAGCTAAATTTATTTTGCATTTCTAGTAGGGATGGGGTTTCTCCATGTTGGTCAGGCTGGTCTCGAACTCCCAACCTCAGGTGATCTGTCTGTCTCCCCCTCCCAGGGTGCTGGGATTACAGGCGTGAGCCACCGCGCCTGGCTCCAAATTGAGGCAGTAGATGGATGCCGCAGGTTCCTCAGTTCCCAGATTGGGCCAACTCTCCTTATACCACACCTGGGACCTGGGAGGAATGAGGAAGAGGCTTTTTTTTTTTTTTCCTGAGAATCCAGCAAAAATGTAGAACGCTTCACAAATCTGCGCAAGAGCCTTTTATAGGGCAGGACTTTCCCAGACTCAGACTATCGCCCCACCCTGAGGACAGAGTATTGCAGTAACTTTCTCCCTGTCTTCCAAAGGCACTTGCATTCCTCCTGGAGCTCTAGTCAACCCTGACCTCTTCCTTTGGCACAAAGGTCACAGGCCTGAGCCACGTCTCGGCTGTTTCCAGAAAAATGACTGTGTGCTCCCACCTATATTGGAGGTCCTAGGCTCCTCAGAAGTCAGCTTCATGTGATCCAGGCTACTCAAGCCTTTGACTAGAGCGTTTTCATATTCTGGTAAGAGAGACTTGCTTCTTCTGGAAAGATCTTTATGGTTTACACAAATAGAACAGAGCACTTAATAACAGCTAGTTTGTAAAGGTACATCTTAAAATGGCTTTGTACTTAAGAGAATTCCTAATTTAAAAAACTCATTTGATTTCTATCACTTTGTAAAATACAGTTTGCTTCAAAAGATAATCCTGAAAATTCCATCAGGCAGTGTTTAAAGGATGAGTACGAAGTTTTAGCCTTTAAGAGAGTACTGAGCACTCTTTCAAAGCCGTCCCTGTCAATGTTTGTCCACTGATCCCACAGCAGCTCCTGTTGCCCATCCTGCTTGAGAAGCCTCTTGGAGAGTTGCCTAGAGAATGTGTAGCCCTCACCTGAAAGCCCTCCATGGCAACTCTTCTCTTCCATATATTTTTGCATCAGCCCAAAGGCATTTGGACACAAATTTGGTGAACACGTTAAGTAAGAAAAAAACCAAAACAAGCAACAAAAACAAAAAGCAGGCAGTGCTCCATTAGACTGAAAATAAAAACTGAAAACTAAGAACCTATGAACCCCGAGTGTAGCACTGCTTGCTTGCACCCATATGGTCTCTTTTGGTGTTCTGCTGACTCTTGTGAAGCAGTATCCCTGACAATGACCCTAGCTTAGAGGGCTGAGAACTGCCAAAAGTGATGCTGTTTATAAATGGTAGGGTCAGGACCCACACATGGGTGTGGTCTGACCGCAAAGCGCATGTGGAATTCAACAAGATGGGATTACCATCCCCACTGCGGAGGACAGTGTGATCTGTGGCAGGAGGGTTGGATAGGCTACTTAGTTCCACAGGTCACATTGATCCCCTTCTCCTCTTTTTCCTATGCAAGTATAAAATCTACTTGTCTATATGTCTGTCTACCTTAGTAGACTGGGCTCCTTGAAGAAGGGACTACCTTTTCTTCATCTCCACATCCCCAGTAGCTCACCAATGCCCAGTATACAACAGGGGGTCAGTTGTTGGTTGTCTTATTTTCTTGGTGACCCTACTCGGACTTAGGGTATGTCACTTTCCCTTCTTGACCTCCACATTCAGATGTGTTAATAAAAGTGGATAAAGGCCACTCTAGCTTTAAAACCCTGCCAATACAGAGAGAACTCTGAAACCAGCAGCAGAAGCTGAGGAACGGGGAACAGAGCATTTTCTCTCACATAATGGGTATTAGGGTGGTACCTTATCCCCCCAGTGCCTCTGCAGAATTTGACACTAGTTTTTCAAATTGGACTCAAGAATGATCTTAGTGTTGGTGGTTTTGTGGTTTTCTTTGAAACTCTGTTATTGACAGAACAGCTTCCAGATATCTGAAAAGAAAAAAAGGTAGTTTATTAGTTTGGAATATGAAATGTATTTTGTCATGGTGTCCGGGGTCCGAATATTGATCTCCATGGAGCTCTCCTACCCTCTGCTAATCCTGATAACTTATAGTACTCAAGGGGCAGCAGAGCCTGAAGACCAAAACACTTCCCACCTGCTGACACACTGCTGCAGTGCGGTCAGTTACTGATCTACCATTTATGAAGCAGGCCTACAGATGTAACTGTGTGTTCTTCTGAGTAATTTAAACTGACAATTAATTAACAGCTTAGGGCCGGTGCTAGGTAAATATTATAGGTTCGAATCCCAAGTGTGGATTAATTTGCTGTCTTCCATAAGACTCCCTGCTTACCTCCAGCTTGCTGGTCTCCCAACATATGCTAATGATTACATAGGATTAAGGTCTCTTATTACCTTGTTGGAAAAACTGGGAACTCACCTGTTATTGCTGGTGGTTAGATACCTCAACTAAGTAACATATTAATTAAAGATATTAGGCTGGGCATGATGGCTCATGCCTATAATCCCAGCATTTTGGGAGATCAAGGAAGGCGGATCACTTGAGGTCAGGAGTTTGAGACCAGCCTGGCCAATATGGTGAATGAAACCCAGTCTCTACTAAAAATACAAAACTTAGCCAGATATGGTGGTGCGCACCTGCAATCCCAGCTACTCCGGAGGCTGAGGCAGGAGAATCACTTGAACCTCGGAGAGGGAGGATGCAGTGAGCTGAGATCACACCACTGCACTCCAGCCTGGGCAACAGAGCAAGACTCCATCTTAGGGATAAAAATAAAGTCCCCAACCATCAGTTGTCATATTGTGACCCCAAGAAGATGTAACTTTTTATTAAATTTTAAATACAGATGTTTATTTTTACCTCACTATTTAAGCAATTTAACTCCAACCAACCCCTTAATTTGAGTTGAGGATGCAGAGTATATAAACGTTTGTCAGTCAAACATTTTGCCTGCCATCAATAGTTACTCAATAAATATATTTTTAAAGAACACACAGCTAAATAGGGCAAGTAAAGATAATTGAGTTTTATGTGTTATGATACAATAATGAATTTTAAACTTTCCAAAAGTACAATAACTGGTCTAGGTTCTGAAGTGTAAGTCTATACAAATAGTTTCTGGAAATAACTATACAAGTCAACATTTATTGACCATTTGCTGTGTAGTAAGCATACAGATGATCTGATTTAATCCTTATAATAACCTGGGATGTTAAGTACTATTAATATGTTGATTTTACAGATGATAAAATCCAAGGTTCAAATAGGGTAAACATTTTTGCAAGGGTGCAGATTCATCCTAGGATGGATTTTGGGGGCCTGACTCCAGAACTTTAGAACTCTATAATGTAATAAGGTGAAAATAAATTTATTTCCAGAATTCCAGATACTGGCACTAATGCATTTTTAAAAATTATAAGCAAGAGTCTTTAAAGAAAAGGTAAACGCATGGAATGCAACGTTATAAATGAAAATACGAGTGATGGCCAGGTGCAGTGGCTCATGCCTGTAATCCCAGCACTTTGGGAGTTCGAGGCGGCTGGATCACGAGGTCAAAAGATCGAGATCATCCTGACCATCACGGTGAAACCCCGTCTCTACTAAAAAATACGAAAATCAGCCGGGTGTGGTGGCGCGCTCCTGCAGTCCCAGCTACTCCGGAGGCTGAGGCGGAAGAATCACTTGAACCGGGAGGCCGAGGTTGCAGTGAGCCGAGGTTTAGCCACTGCACTCCAGCTTGGTGTCAGAGTGAGACTCCATCTCAAAAAAAAAAAAAGAAAAAAGAAAAGGAAAAATGAAAATACGAGTAATTAAAACTACTGCCCCTCACTTTGTAAACCTGCCTTGGGTTACAGAAGGAAATTTGGATATTTCTGGATTTTGCCTTGTTTTTTAATGGCTAACTGTATTATTTCTTTTATTTATTTTTGAGACATAATCTCACTCTGTTGCCCACGCTAGAGTGCAGTGGCGACATCTAGTCCCACTGTAACCTCCACCTCTTGGGTTCAAACAATTCTCCTGCCTTAGCCTCCCGAGTAGCTGGGATTATAGGAGCACACTACCACGCCCAGCTAATTTTTATGTTTTTTGTAGAGACGGGGTTTCACCATGTTGGCCAGGCTGGTCTCAAATGATCCACCAACCTTGGCCTCCCAAAGTGCCGGGATTACAGGTGTGAGCCACCGTGCCCAGCCTGTATTTTTCTAGATAAGATGTCATGCTGGCTTTGCGACTAATTTTGTGTATAGGTGAGTGGCATAACTTGTCAGTCTGCTTTTAAACGTAACTTCTTAAAATATCAGCAGCATTTATGTGTATATACTGGCTTGCATTTGAGGTGGGTTATCAGAAAAGAAAGCAGAAAAATCCAACTTGCCTTTTTCACCGGGGGTATGGGGGCTTCTTTGGCCAAATCGTGCGCGTGCAGGCTCCACGTGCTGCGCAGCGGCTGCCAGGGCCACAGCCTGCCGGCTGCCTCCTGCTCCTCTACCGAGGCTTCTCCAGAAAAAGAACAGATGGAGGGGTGAAGATAAGTAAAAGTGGCACTTTAAAACTTTTAGAGCGCTGGGTTTCTAAATTTATATTCTGAAAGACACTCTCTTTTTGAAAATGTTTTATGCAAGCCTAATATACATACAGTTATCAACCTCATTTTAGAAGCAATTACGACAGAACTTTGGAACAGAATTCCCGTAATCGACCTCCTTCCAGAAGCTGCTACTAAAGCAGTAAGATTCAAATCCCTCTCCTTAAGCGGAGCAGCGCGAGCCCCGGCACAGGCGCACGTTTCGGTCGGGCCATTCCGCGGTGGGAACGAAACGGGACGCAGGCTTTCCCACGCTCCGGCAGACCTGCGGCCCCACGACCGCCTCCTCCGTGACGAGCAGGCGCTTCGAACCACCTGCACCTGCAGACATGATGGTGTGTTCGGCCGTGTCCTCTGTCACGGGGGCAAAGATCACAGCGACCGAGAGCCCGAAGCTGCTGGGATGAGCCCCTGCCGCGGCACCGCGCTCCCGCGCTCCCTCCTGCTCTTTCCAAGAGGACAGGCGCGGCCGTCCCGCGTCCCGCTGCCCCGGACCCCGCAGACCTCGCGGGCGGGCGGCCCGGAGCGGTGCGAGCCGGCGGCGGCGTTAGGAAGGCGGCGTCCCGAGCAGCAGATCCAGTCGGCCTCCGGCTCCCCCTCAGAGCGCCATCTTGTCGCCGCGTCCCTCCAGAGCAGACGCGCTCTTCCCTGGGGCCCGCTTCGCGGCTTTCCTCCGCTCGAGTAACGCCGGGCGGCGGCGGCGGCCCCTCCGGCCCCGCCGGTCACAGGGCGCAGGGCGGGGCGCGGCGGCCGGCGGGCCCGAGGCGGGCGGGCGGCCTGCAGCCTCCAGGCGCGGCCCGCTGCGGCCCAGGCGCCTCCTCCATCCCGCCCCGGCCCGGCTCCCGGCCTCCGCCTCGGCCGCCGCCGCCGCCGCCGCCGCCGCCTCCGGGAGCCGCGAGCCGCGTCCCGCCGGCGCCGCCTCTTCCGCCTGCTCGCCGGCGGGCCTGCGCGGGCCTGGGCGGCGTCCGCGCCGGGCGGGTCCGCTACGTCAGCGCCGCCCGCCCGCCCCGCCCCGGCCCCCAGCCTCGGCCTCGGCCTCGGCCTCGCAGCGGCGGCAGCGGCGGCGGCGGCAGATCCCTCCCCAGACATGGCCCTGGGAGGCGGCAGCACATGGCGGCCGCGGCGGCCATGAGCGCGCCCCCGACCCGCCCCAGTCCCCCCTAGAGGCCGCCGCCCCCGCCCGCCCGCCCGCCCGCGCGCCACGGCCCCGCCGCCCCCGGCCCCGCCGCCGCCGCCGCCCCCCGCCCGCGCCCGCGCCCGCGCCCCCGCCGCCGCCATGGGCGTGCAGGGCTTCCAGGACTACATCGAGAAGCACTGCCCGAGCGCCGTGGTGCCGGTGGAGCTGCAGAAGCTGGCCCGGGGCAGCCTGGTGGGCGGCGGGCGGCAGCGGCCCCCGCAGACCCCGCTGCGCCTGCTGGTGGACGCCGACAACTGCCTGCACCGGCTCTACGGCGGCTTCTACACCGACTGGGTCAGCGGCGGCCAGTGGAACCACATGCTCGGCTACCTGGCGGCGCTGGCCAAGGCCTGCTTCGGCGGCAACATCGAGCTCTTCGTCTTCTTCAACGGCGCGCTCGAGAAGGCCCGGCTGCACGAGTGGGTCAAGCGGCAGGGCAACGAGCGCCAGACGGCGCAGCAGATCGTCAGCCATGTCCAGAACAAGGGCACCCCGCCGCCCAAGGTCTGGTTCCTGCCGCCCGTCTGCATGGCCCACTGCATCCGCCTGGCGCTCATCCGCTTCCACGTCAAGGTGAGGCCGGGGATCCGGGCGGGCCCGGGCCCGGGGGTCGCGCCGCGCCGGTACCGCCTCTCCCCGGGCGCGGAGTGTCGCCCGGCCGCGGCGGCGCGGGGGGCGGCCGGCTCCCCCGGCCCTGGCTCGGGATGGCCGGGCCGGGCCGCGCCGCAAGATGGATGGCCGCGGGTGCAGGCCGCGCGCTGCCCAGGCCCGCCTCCGGCGGCCCCGGCTCGGGGTCCCCGGCCGCGTGGGGACACTCGGGGGCTGGAGGAGAGCCGCCCGGTCCCGGAGTTCGGAGGCGGCGGCGGCGTCTTCCCCAGTGTGCTCCGTTTTCCTCGTCCTTTTTGAGGCGGGCAGGCTCGCTCTCACTCACCTTTAACTTGGACAGAATGCTCCTTGTTCTCATTTAGCCTGTTCTTTCCCAGCAACAGGTTCATCTCGGAAGCAAGCAGGACACAGAGTCATAGAGGGGGTGTCGCCGGGGCCCTGGGGGGCTGCAGGCATCGGTGCCGCCGCCGCCGCCCTTGCCAGTGTGGTTAGCCCGGTGACAGCGAGACCTGCCTGAGGGCCAGTGCCCTGTCCGTGCCCCTCTGGGAAGGAGGTGCTTAGAGAATCTGTCTGTGGCTTTTTGTGTTAGATTTCAAAGAACCGTGCACGCTGCCAGTTCTGTGACTTCACGTCCGTGTGAAAGAGGTCTTTCGGGCAGTTCGGGTCTGTAGATCCCGTGCGAAAGGAGCCACTCAAAGTCAGGGGCCGAGCCACGCGGGCGTGAACTCGCAGGATTTGTTTTTCGGGTGCACAGTAAGTATTCAGTGACCTTCAGCGGCGCCCTGACGGGTGGGCGACCAGAGCTCTCCATCACCGGCCTCCTCTGGCCCTTTGGCAGAGGGCTCCGCAGCTGGCACTGGGCCAGAGGAGGACTTCGGGACCCAGCAGTGACTGTGAAGATAAGCACACTCAGGATCCTGGACTTCACGTTGTGATTGCTTGCTTTTTTCATTGATTTTCTTGAAAGCAAGATCTGGGGAGCCTTTTTGGTGTCTTAGCTCTTGCCATTCTATCTTCCGCCTTGTCAGTCTTTGACATTTCCTTGAAACTGCTGGAGCTGAAAGTTTGTGAAATTCCGTTTTCGCGGTTGCCCCCACTGCCCCGCGACGACTTGGTGGTAGTTAAGCCGAAAGTGATGGCGGAAGTCCCACCCAAGATCCGGTTGCAATTGGTGAGATGGCGTTTAAGTCGTGGGTGGAGGCGGCCGGCAGAGTCCCGATTGGCCCCTGCGCCTGGCGGACACACAGCTGCCATTCCTCAGGGAAGTTCGGGTGAGGGGAAGTGCCTGCCTCTTAATTTCTAAACCGGAGCCTGGGGCGCTCAGGGAAGTGAGGTGCTGCCATTTGTCTGAAGTGATCCACCTCCCGAATAGAGCGTCAAAGCGTTCATCGTTCGGTCTTGTTCAGAAATGGAAAAGACTACTTAAAAGACAGGATGAGCTGTACTTCCTCGCCTTTGATAACCGCACATCTATCTACTTAACTAGTCAAGTGGCTTTCAAGGGAACACTGTTGACGATTACTTAGGATTAGAATCGGCATGTATGCATATGGTCACTGTATCCTGAAAGAACTGTTTTAATTCTACAATTTCTTTATCTCTGCACCCCTTTGGATGCCTCACACAGCTAGTAGGTGCTCAGAATTCTGACCAATGTGTAACTGTTCGGAAACTAGATTTAAGCTACATTTAAGATCATCTTTTCCACTTAGGTTTCTGGACACTGGATAACTTTGCCTATATTTCGCTTTTGCTAAGCTTTTATTTATTGATCTAAGATCATGTTATCGTGTGAATTGCACAAACCGAATATTGTAATGACTCAATTACCTGGTGGTCTCTCAGCTGGTCACTTTACCTTTTTGAAAAGTGCCTAAGAGATTTAGCTACTAGACATTTCTCAGCAACCAAACAAGATGTCAGGAAGTTTGGGTACAATGATGTGGGGGTTGGCGGGGGTGGGGGGTTTGGGGGCCTTTGCTTTCCCTGCTGAAGAATCCTTTACGCTCTCTCACTCACGGGCTGTCCTTTTTTTTTAGATGTAATTCTAACGAGCTTAGTTATCTATTTTCTAAGCTCAACTTGAGAAGAGAGTGAAGAGGAGAGTCTTCCAGAGGCAGGAGCAAGAAGTGACAAGAGAGAAGATTTAAAAAGCTATAAAAAGCAGAGATAATTCTGGGGCTATTTTAGGAAAAGGAACACAACCTTATGTACTTCAGTAGTCCCTGAGGGTGGTACAGTGTTTGTTCTATCAGGATGATTTTGAGTCAGAAAAATTTATATTCAGCATTCTCTGTTTAAGGGCTTGAAACTGTACTATTTAATAAAAGATGCCTATGAAATGGTTAAAACATTTAAAACCCTGACGAGGTATCACTACGGGCCTATTAGAATGGCTAAAAGAGAAAAAAAAAATACAGCCGATTAGAATGGCAAAAAGGAAAAAAAAAAAGCAATACCAAGTGCTGGCAAGAATGCTGACCAACGGGATCCTTACCCGTTGCTTGTGGGAATGCAAAAAGGCTTTGCCACTCTGCAAAACTGTCAGTTAAGTTAAACATACATTTATCATATGATCCAGCAATTCTACTTCTGGGTATTTTGAAGACTTTTGTTCTTGCAAAAGTTGGGACTCAAATGTCCATAGCAACTTAATTCATAATAGCCAAAACCTGGAAACTATCAAAGTATTCTTTAATAAGTGAATGGTTAAACTACTGTGTAGCCATACTACGGAATACTGCTTAGCAATAATAAGAAGGAACTGTGGTATAGGCAGCTACTTCCATCAATCTTTAATTAAGGTTTTATGCTGAGTGAAAGAAACCAGGTTCAAAAGGTATAAAACTATAGTGATGGGGACCAATTCAGTGGTGGTGAGAGTAGAGGAGGGGAAGGACATATGCATAAAGGGACAGCAGGAGGGAGCTTTTTGGAGTGATAGAACTGTTCTGTATTCTGCTGGTGGTGATGCTACCATGCATTAAAATCAGAACGATTCATAGAAACACGTTAATTTTATCATGATAACTTTTTTTAGAATTAAGTAAAAATCACTGGCAAAGAAATTGACACGAACACTTCAGTATATGTAACACTGGGTAAATGAGGCATTTATAAAAATTTAACGATCTTATGGGTGCTTTCTAGTGTTTTGTAGATTGGCAGAAAGGCATAATTTCCTGTTATCCTTGCCTAGAAAAATCTTTTTTTTTTTTTTTTTCTTGATATGGAGTATTGCTGTCACCCGGCTGGAGTGCAGTGGCGCAACCTTGGCTCACTGCAGCCTCCACCTCAAGCAATTCTCTTGCCTCAGCCTCCCATTGAGATAACAGGTGCCCACCACCATGCCTGGCTAATTTTGGTATTTTTAGTAGAGATGAGGTTTCACCATGTTGGCCAGGCTGGTCTTGAACTCCTGACCTCATGATCCACCTGCCTCAGCTTCCCAAAGTGCTGGGATTACAGGTGTGAGCCACTGTGCCCGGCCAGGAGAAATCTTTTTTGATTTAGAGAGTATTTCTTTTACAGAGTAATAATTTTATTTTTTGTTTAGTAGTAGTGATTGTATTTCTTTAAGCATTAGAAGTTGGTCTACATGGTAAGAGAGCCAGAACAATGAAAATAATAATAATACATTGGCCTATGTATTGACTAGTTTTGTGTAGGCCCTGAAATAGCCTAATTTGAACTTGGCTTTAGCTAGTTACTCTGACAGTTTCCTCTTGTGTGCTTTGGGTCATTATAGCCTTTGAAACTTAAGTGAGCGACTTCTGTTTATTTTAAAATCTTAGTGACGTGAAGTCACTGGAGCTTTCATAAATGTTTTTGCTATTTGACTAGTATCAGTGTACGGGTTTATAATGAAGTTCTTCAGATCTTCTGAATTTGCTTCCACTGGAATTTTGTTAAATGATGTTCTTACATAAAATGGCGTTCATGCTTTAAGTCAGTGGAAGAATGTGAGGTTAGGCTATGGTTTAGAATGTTCATGGTTAGCATAATCACATGTTGGTATTTAGAGATGATGATCTCTCTTTATGTATAATTGATGGGGGAGAGAACGAACTGGTATCAGACCAGGTCCTTGCTAGGTTCTTTCTCACATATACCATGTCATTTAATCCTCAGAGTGCTTTGTTACTCCATTTTACATGTGAAAAAACAGGATCTATTGATTAAGTGACATCTGGGGACAAGTCCTTAGTAACGGCAAGACGGAAGTGGAGCGCAGAAGTCAAAGTTCAGCTTCTTTGCACTTTGTGGGTGTGCCTACCTGCAGTTTGCCACGAGGCCAGTTATGATAGCTAACTGCTTCTACTATGTTTTCTTTTTTTTTTTTTCTAGTTAGAATAGGAAGAGCTAAGTTTCTATTCAGAGAAAAATGTCCGTCAATAGACCCTGAACACTGACAGTATATGTTTTTTTTTTTTTTTTTTTTTTTTTGAGACGGAGTTTCGCTCTTGTTACCCCGGCTGGAGTGCAATGGCGCGATCTCGGCTCACCGCAACCTCCGCCTCCTGGGTTCAGGCAATTCTGCCTCAGCCTCCTGAGTAGCTGGGATTACAGGCACGTGCCACCATGCCCAGCCAATATTTTATATTTTTAGTAGAGACGGGGTTTCACCATGTTGACCGGGATGGTCTCGATCTCTTGACCTTGTGATCCACCCACCTTGGCCTCCCAAAGTGCTGGGATTACAGGCTTGAGCCACCGCGCCCGGCCGACAGTATATCTTATATTTAAGGACCTTTAATTAACTAGAAGATTTTCAAGGTTCAAAATTGACCATATTATACCTCAAACTAGTCATTGTATATATTTCTCTCTTGTACCACTGTTGTTACAAGTTTAATTCACGTAGCATAATGTCTTCAGGGTTTATCCATGTTGTAGATTGTGTCAGAATTCCCCTAACTTTTAAGGCTAAATAACACTCCACTGTGTATAAGTACCACCTTTTTTTATCCATTCATCCATTGCGGGTCTCGGGTTGCTTCCACTTTGTGACTATTGTGAATAATGAATAATGCTCCTATGAGCATGGTATACAAAGACCTGTTTGGGTTCCTGCTTTCAGTTCTTTTGGGTATATGTGCAGAAGTAGAACTGCTGGGTCATATGGCAATGCTGTTTTCCTTTTTTTAAATTTTACTTTAGGTTCTGGGGTACATGTGCAGGTCATGCAGGGTTCTCTGCTTTACTTTTTAAGGAATGGCTATACCATTTTCCACGGTGGCTGTGTAGGCCATATACTTTATGTTACAAGTTACATAACATGTATTATTGTAATATAGTTCTATTTTTTCACATTAATGTGGTCAACATTATATGTTATTCAGCAGTTTGTTTTTATATTTGTAAGAAATCTTTCCATGTCGATACTTAGAGCTCTAATTCTTTTTAGTCCCTAAATAGTGTTCCATAATTTAGCCAACCCCAACAGATGGTGTACACATGGTGTAAACACACAGTAGATCCAAAGGTGTGCACATTTTAAAAGCCTTGTAGGACCATAGAGTCAACATTGTCAGACCTTCAGCCTTTGCAAGAAAGCCAGAAACCCAGATTTTATTTCAAATTACTCCATTTTAAAAATGCGAAGCGAAGCAAAACTTGGTTTTAAGTTAGCTTCAGCTCTTGTGCCACCAATTTGTGATTTGAGCACTGAACTTTATCAGCAATTATCATTGTCATCTAAATCTCTTCCCTTTTTTTTTTAACTTTAAAATTAAACCTATCAAAAACCACCCTGTCTCTTCCTGTCTGCCTCCTTGAACCTTTTTTAATGATCAATGTGCTTCCATTTCCTGGGGTTACTGCAATATTATGTTTCCTTCAATGCCACAATCCTCTTGGCCACTGCCGTAATATATTCTTCATTACATATTTCTCAATATTCTATCTTTTGAGGTGAGTGCTAACCACATGTTTATTCAACATCTCACCATTTCCAAGGCACAGCCTCACTGTCCTCAGAGACTTCAGCACCTGGTTTTACATACTTAGATATTGTTTATACTATATCCCATCAACACAGACACTGACCATTCACATCTCTAATCTGGCATCCTGATTGTACAACTGGAGTGAATTTCTCATTGCATCTTAGATACTCCAGAGCTTGGACTGTA